ACGGTCAATTTGTTTACAAGGCGGTTTGGTGCCTGCTTCAACAGTTATCAGAGCCAAAAATAGAGACCTGCAGCTTCCTGGTGGTTCGTCAATTGTTTCTCCTTTTAACAGGGAGAGATTGATCCTGGGGCTGTTCATTCAACTGGACTTTCTCCACTATCAGCAACAGCTAGTAGACGTAAACTGTTATTTTTAAATGAATTTTTGTTTTGATTATAGGGAGGATGACGTAAAAATCAGCCATTTAATTAAAGCTAATCTCCAACCAAAGTGTGTTCCTTCTAAATGCTCCTGCCTCCAGTGTTTGCTATGTTCTCTTTAGATGGAGTAAATCCATCAAGTGAAAGTAAACCATGAAGTAGTCCTGCTGTGAAAAGCACACTTACATCTTCATCACTTGAAGGCTTCAGTACATTCTCCTCATTAACAGGGTTTACTTTTTAACATTGCATACTGGCCCTTTGTAGTCCGTTTAAGTCTTTGAACGCTCCTGCTGGCTGTGTCAAGTCACATGTTCATTTTCTACACACACACACACACAAAAAAAATGAATTCACACACTGTGGATTGATTTTTAACATTATTCTGCAAATTTGTGTTTTGATTAAAACAGTAAAAAAAAATAAAACACCGAATTAAAAAGGCATCAAATTGTCACATCTATTCCTGGGGAAGCTACTAAAAATAGAAAGCAGACCTAACAAAGACGGATTCACCTGCTTTTCATGTATTTAAAGCATTGATTATTCTTGTGCATACTGTACAGCTCTTTGTAATTGGTTTAATTAAGGTAACTGTTGTTTTTTTAACCTGTTTACAACACTGCAGGGTCATAAAAGAGGATGGCGTCTGAGAACCGGGGCTGTTTTCACAATATGAAGCCAATTGCTGAAATGGCAAACTGAACACCAGAGGGGAAATGAACTCCTAGAGATGAAAAGGATGGTCTGACATCATTATAAGCCTCTTCTTGGAGACCAGGAGATTTATTCTTTCAACGGGAGAGACCGGTTGTGAAGAATGCACAGTGAGATAACATGGTTATGTAGTTGAATTTTTTATGCAATTGAGCACAAAGATTGTCTTTATTGCAAAGTGTGTTTAATAGGAAAATAATCTCATCCGTGAACTATTCAACCGCATTTCCATATCTGGCTTCTTATCAGGGGGGCAGTGGAGCACAAACAAGTCTTCTTGTCACGTTGTCAGCCAGTCTTTCTACGATCAGTTGTCCCTTATATGTTAATTTGGACCAATTGTTTAATTATGACCTTATAATCAAAGTAGCATTTGCAAATGATATTGCAAACAAAAATGTAATTCTGGATGTAACCTGCATGAGAGTGTGGAACAGACTGCATCAGGGCAATCCAGCTAAACACATCTACTAACTTTAAAATCATCTATTCTGATTGAATTGACTTTCTAGCACTTGCTATATTGTGCTATCATGGCACCAAAGTGAAGCGTATCTGCCTCTCCTGTCTGTTCCTGGTCCTGGTGCTGTGGGTAAACACAGATGGCTGTGCTTGTGTGGAGGCTGTAAACTGCTCCCTCCGTCATCATCCTTTCCCTTTCATCTGTCTTTTCTAAGATGACTGACATTGACAACCCTATCAGGTAGAATGACTCAGAGCCACAGTCTCACTGAATAAGTAATTGAGTAATGAGAAACGCTGATGGCCAGTCATGAAAAGACAAATCATCTGAGGTGAGACTACCGTATGGACCTATAGCGTTCCATTCAAGAGTTAACTGTCCAGACATGAAAGTAACGTAAAGGAAATGCATTCCTTTCTGTGCCTATCTATTACGCATGGGGATCAAATGTTGTCACAATAGTACACGCGTTTTTAAACACTTGCTGCATGCATGCACGTGTGTACATGCAAAACTGAGTAAAAGGCCAGGGCCAGTGGGTCACTGTGTACTGGATAGACAGAGCCGTAAGGGCTTTGCTACCCTGTGTGGCAGATCAGATCAGTCGAAGCAACTCTGAGACTGGCAAAATGCCCAGGATGGCTCTGGAGCCTGTCTACAACACATCAAACTTGACCCCAACGTCAGTTAGTAACCAGCGAAAACCCTGGCTCATTTTAAGCATTCCGACAGCGACATCCTGCTCAAGGTGCAAAGATGTACACAGTGTAATTAACAATCACAGTAGTTGGTCTGGAAAAACAAAAGTTAAAAATAAATCTCAATATCCATTTCAAAGGAGCTACGGGAAATTAGTCCATTACTCAATTCAGTCTATTTAAAATTATACAGGACAAATTGCCTCATTGCGCCTCAGCTTAGTATTCAAAAGCTTCACTGTGATTGTCACCTATTAATCCATGTTTTGCAATGCTCGAGGATGCCATCACTTTCAGCCTAATGAAGTATGGCCTTTTTCATTTCAAACCAGTGAGGCATTGCTGCCAAATGCAAATCTTTCACCAAACACAAAAGCGTACACATTGTCCTGCAGAGAGCTATTAAGCATGTTTCTGTGACATCGTACAAAATCATTTTAACAAAAAGAAGAGTGGCAAATGCAGCAAAAATAATGGCCAATCGAGGTACACACATGATGCATGTTCTTGTCTTGGAGGATGTGTTTTTACTGAATGCCAAGCTTAGTTTCTTCAGGAAATTAATTAATTCATGATTAATATATAACAGCAAAGAGTTTAAGGTGTGGTCTTAAATTACACTGTAGCAATAACAACCAGTACATCCTCTGAACTTCTCCTTTGTCATCCTCAGTAACCAGGTCCTCTGACTTCTTTGAAAACTTTCCCTGTCTTTAGGAGAGAACAGTTATGGCAGCATCCGTCATCTTTTAAAGACAAAATGATAGCGAAGGTCCAGGGAATTTGCAGGCGGCAGAGCTACGCTGAGATGAATGGGCAAAAAAATCATCCATTGCGAAGTCAATGTTGAAAACTCCGGGGACATTTGCCTGACTTCATTCACAGTCACCATTACAGAGTGACTCAGGGCACTGGAATGAATTTCACCTCAGTAAAATTAGCCATTAGCTTTCTGATAGGGCTGCATTCTTGAAGAGGAGGATATGGATTCCTGGGAAAAAAAACTGGAGGAGCAGCAAGAAATAAGTAAGATGTGATGGGGTGATGGGGAACTGGAAGCAAAACCTCATTCAAGTTGTGACTTCTTGCTAAACGGTTGTCACCTGCCACCAAAACGGCCGATCCACACGAAACACGTTTTTGACATCCGCTGCTCACGCGTCTCAGGGAACAGATACGCTTCCATTTCAGTACATATGAATCAATCCACACTTCTGTGCCAAGTCAATTTTTGTTGCATTTAGTGAAGCGTAATCCGCATAGACAGACATTTAAATCACACAAATATCCTGCTGTATACTGTATGTGAACTTATTAACCGTACATTTATTGATCAAAGTTCCCAGTCTGTCTGTGAGCTTTCCTGGTTCACTAGAGGCAAATGTTGTTATTCTTATAATTGCTGAAGTCATTTTTTTAATTTTTATGTGTTAAAACAAAGTAGGGCGTTAGTGGGGACGTTTTATTGGGTCACCATCTGTTCTGAGCACTTTCACAATTTCCTTTTATAGACTAAATATTAAGGAATCAATGTAAATGAATTACATGTTGTGCTGTGCTGATCTTTTTCTGTTGTTGAACAAATTCATTTTTACAATATTTGATCTTTTTTTATTTATTTGTAATGCCTATCATTACATGTGTTGGACAATACTGTTGCACAATTGCTTAAATAAAAACATCCAAGATCAGCTCCTTGTCTTCCACCATTACTGACAGTGTGTTTCGCTCGTTGCTGTGCATCCTCATCAGTGCAGAAGAAACATACTACACTGGCTCCAGCTGAGTGGTTTCAAACACTGTGGTATTAAACCCTTCCCAGTTGGGAATATGAGTAACTGACTGCCCACACAAAGGGCTGACAGCGGTCTGCCTCCTTCACTGTGCTTCTGTCGGTAAACCTGGTTCCTGTGCACTACCACCTAAACAAAGTTTCTAAGAACACAAGAGCACAAAAAGTCCTAGAAGACATGGTATCACCATTTTAACGTGAATATGTATTATATTACTCATTATAAGTTGGCACAATGATAGTGAATCATCCAGGCTTGTTTTACTTTAGGTTTCATGCTCTCCTCTGTTGTTGTTCAAAATGTATTCTAGGATGGCAATACATTTTCTATTTACGGGTACAAGATTTGAGAGCATTTGGCCCACTGAACAGCCATTGGCAGCACAGTTAACCCTCCGAACCCTTTCAATAGCAGTTGCGCATAGAATGGCAAAGTAGATGGCACCAGACAAACCATAAGCAGCCAGACACTGAGAGACTGGAGGGAATAATAGCCTGCAATAGAAGCTTCTAATGGAAACAAACCACATGTCCAAAGCAGATGCTCAATAACACATGTTATTATATCTATGAAACCAAAATCAATTGACATATGCAAAGCAAAGGTAACACAAATATGCCATATGGTATTGGTCCAATCAAACGAATGTAACTAAAATACAACTAAATAAGAATAAAAAATACATTTATTAATTAAATATAATGAAGTCTTATAAGTTTTAATTATGTTGTTTTTTTTGTCACACAGTCCTACATTGGATTCTGACACAAAAATCGCGCTTAAGTACAGCATGTCCATGTCGGACATAACCTTGTTAACTACAACAAACCTAAAGCCATATAAACTTATGTATTTACTAAAAGATCACTACAATAATCCAGTAGGGGGGGGAATAAGACAACATGAGATCCCTTTATCGACATGGAATTGATATTCCAGTGAAGCAGAACTAAATGTAGTATGTTAATCCATCTCGATTAATAGACTTCTATGGTATTGAAAATGTCAAATGTTCAAATCGCCACATGAACTTGTTGACCGGCCACGCCCATGAAATAAATGGACAAATGTAATAAAAAGTTCGGACGAGCCAGACATCCTTTGTTAAATTGGAGGAACGATATCTCACCTGCGCAGCCATGAATGACAGATCCATAGTGTTGCTCCGTTCAATCCAAGGCACTCAATGAAAGATGCAAACGTGCGTAGTTTCTTCTCTTATTCCCCGACAGAGCATTTGCCTTCTTTTTCTTTTTTAAGTCGGCATCCACAGTGCTCTCTGCAAGTTAGCGGACCTCACGTGAGAAACATGTCGAAGATGGAGAATTTAAATAAAAAGGAGAAGGAAGGAGGAGAAAATGAAGAGATGTGGCACAACAAAAAAGCAGACGGCTGAGCAGACGGAGAAATGAAGAGATGTGGTTGCGAGAGACAGCAGGAGAGAGAGAGAGAGAGAGAGAGAGAGAGAGAGAGAGAGAGAGAGAAGGCTGTGGGGCTGGACTGTCGCATGTGTCGACGGAGGTGCAAGTTCTCTCTTTCTCTCTGTCTCTGTCTCTCTCACTCTCTCTGTCTCTCTTTGTCTCTCTCTTTCTCTATCTCTCTCTCTTTGTCTCAGCCTCTCTCTCTCTCTCTGTATTCTGTCTCAGAATTTTCTTTCTTCCATGACTGTATCTATTTCTCTTATCTATTTGCTGATTATTCAGCCCCCTTTTTAAAGTTATTTAAATATCTTCGTATCCCGATGTACACTACATGTATTTGGAGGTGCATGAGTTGTATACATCGTATACTTTTGACCTGGGTCTGTTTCTCATGGTTTGGGGACTAGATCCTCTTGTGTATCATCACATTCAAGTCACAGTGCTTCGTTGTTTTCTTTCAGTATCCTTCTTCAAAATGACCTTGTTTGTTTTGTATGACACAAGATAAATATTTGAGAAGTATTTATTTCTGTTTTGAAATATAAAATAATAGAAAGTGACATCTTTAACTGATTATAACATGTTTTAATCCATGTTCGCATCATACTAATAGAGCATGGACATATGTCATTTCTGGCTAATGTTTGTTTTCCATTGAAAACATAATATTTTTCATCCAGGCAAGAAACGTTTGTGCAAGGCCCCTTGCTCTCTCTAATAACTGTTTATTATTTGTTTTGAGTATTTTATTTATTCATCTTTTTCAAGAACCGGACCGCACCATACTCTAGGCACCTCTTGTTTGTATAGGGCCAGCAGGCACCTGAAGGGGTCAAATGAGCCACTTTGTTTTCTTTGTTTGTTTTCTTTTATGCTTGTTCGCCAATGATTAATAAATCACAACAAATATCCCAAACTTCTGTCTGGAATATATACTTCTTCTGCCAGTTTAAAATCCGTTATTGTGGCGCATCATAGGCCTCTTGATATCAGGTTGCTTTATTTCCGACTAACTGAGAGAAGGGCTTATTACCCAACATCAGTCCCTGACCTGAACTAATGTAGTGTAACATGCAGAAATAAACCTAGTTGTGTCGTTAAAGTCAACCAGGAACCCAACAGGTGTGTGATTGTGTTGTTCGAAGGTAAATTAAATCTGTAGATGAACAGATGTCAATGCTGCGAGCATGTGCACTTGAGCTTTCTTTCGCCAGAGCCCTTAAAGAGGCTTGAAAACCTGTGACCTAAAACTAATGACACATTCTTCAACTAACTAGGCCTGCAGAATAAAGGATGCTGCTATTATTCATTCGAGAGCCTCTTCAAAAAGCCAATTAACAAGGCCTTACAGTATGAGGAGTGATGCATTTAATAGTGACCCGGCCTTCACTGTGAATACTAAAATGTATCCCGTGGTTGAGTAACACCATCGTCTACCTACAAAGCCGCTTCAAAGAGCCCAGACAGCTTGCACTTTTCTATGGGTCAAGTATCCCAGACATATTATTTGTTCCCTTTTAATCTTAAACTTAATTTTTTTTTTTCTCAAACATAAACACAAAGCTATTTGTCCTTTCAAAAATAAAAATCATTTGGCAACAGTTTAAGTGATTGTCGCTGGAGTAAGGGGGTAAATACTGATGGGCACTGGCTTGTGTTAACATCCTTAGCTTGATCCATGTTGTGTTTTTGATAGTTTGCCATGACCTCTGTCATGGAGGGGATGAAGCAGATCTCCTAGATCAGCAGTTAAGACTCCATCCGCATGTTTGCTTTTTTTGCTGAGCAGGCATACACAACATCCAGCCCAATCCTCCAGTGTGAGGGATTTCACTTCAGTTCACAGCCTCACGTCCAGCTTCTGAGAAGAAGTCTTTCAATTTTTATATCAACTTCTGTATTACAGTGGCTTCATGTCTAATAGAACATAAATAACTTTGACAGTCGTAATCCGTCCTGCACATACATGTCGTTATTATAGAGATTGCAAACACACAGATTTACTCTGTTACAGTGTCTAGTTTGTCATGGATCAGTACGTTTATGTTGATCTTTCCAGGCGATATTTTAGGTGGCTTGCCATTTTAAAATGAAAACACAATATGTAAATGACTTACTGGGTAATTACTGTAATTCCTGCGAGTGACACTTTCACAGTTACATGCTTTGTTTTAAGCAATCAGTTAGCATAAATCAGCCCTTAGATTCAATGTTTTTCAACTAAGATCTTATTAAAATGTTGTTTCCCACCATTTAAAATCATGCATCGCACAACCTCAATGAACTTACTGCTGCGTTGTGGCTTCTCACAGAGATTAAACACGGTCCAATAGAGAAATTGTCGAGGCCTTCAAAAGCAAGGACAAATCTCCTTTTCACAAACGGGAGGCTCACAGGATCAACAGACATGTTTATATGTTCTGTCGGTGAAAGGCAAGTGGCATGCTTTATTATTTATAGGGTTATGTTGAATGTATCTATCTGAAAGTTGTGTAAAATCTAATTAAAGTCAACTGAACCTCTTGAAAAGCAAAGTTTGTGAAGCTTTTTTTTATTGGAACAACAGATAGGCATGTGCACTTCCCATTTGAAAACAAGATTAAGTACGGCTGTTGAAGGCTTGAACGATTTCCCCACTGGGCTGTGTTTAGGAAGCTGCAGTAGAGCTGTAATGTTAACTTGTGCTATACACAGTCAGAATGATGGGAAAACACTTTGATAAACCGGGCTCTGAAAAACAGGCTTTTAGGTTTCAGGAGAATAGGAATTCAAATGTTGTATATTTGAGGACCGTGAGATGGTGGACACACTTTGCCTTGAGTGACTCAGTGATCCAGTTAGTAAATCAGCATGTATTCATATTCCCCAATGATGCTGTGATTAATCTTTGATTTGAGTTTACTGGCAACATTACTTATAGAACTTAGATTGATTTAATGATCCAAGAATTGTGTAATGCATGTTGGAGTTACAGTTGTGTTTTCTTTGAATCATAGCCTGAACACTGATTCTTGAGCCAAACTTGTAGAGTTTTCAAGAGTGAAAGTGACTGGCTCTTTGGTTTGTGAAAGATTGTATTGTATTGTATGAGATGTATTGGAGTCATGGTTATGAAAAAGAAATCTGTGATTTTGAGACTGTTTTGAGTAAAAAACATTTGATTTTTTTTTGTTGATTTTATACAGTAAGTATTTAGTCTTACTAGATCTCAAGACCACCTTTTAAAGTTCTCTCTCGTCTCGGAATCCATCACATTTTTACTGGGTCTTGTCTCGGTCGCAGACAAAGAGGATTCTGGATATTATCTCAGGACTGGTCAAGAACACAACTGTGATTTATCATTACTATTGCTCATAGAAAACAAAGGAAAATTCATGCTTTTTTATTTTTTATCAAGACATTTCTCGTGGTACACTTATACACACACACACATACACACACACACAGTATATCTGGTAATAAAAGAGGTGAATGAAGAGTAATCTTCATTTGTTTTCTGCAGCTTTTTTATGGTCATGTGGATCTTTCAGATCAGTGAGAGGAGTGCCTATATGATTTGCATGTTCCACGTTTTATCGTAAGTGTGTCAGAAGAAGAAATGTAGACCAGGTTTGTCTCACCTGTTGACATTGCCAATGTGGTCTAACTTTATCAGATCCGTGTTCATGTTGCCAGGATAAGCCAACATATTGCTACATCAACTTAATCTGTGCTTTGAATCCAAGAAAAGTGCAACCACCGTAACGTTTAGTTTAATCTGATGTGTATCTTTGTGGTTCTCCTTCTCTGTAAACCTTGTCCGTTCTGCAGCCTCTTATTTTGTGACGGACATGCCACTGGGCATTCACTGACCCGGATTCACAACAGTATAATCGGGGTAAAAATAGATTATTAACAAGCATCAAACTGGGTCTTGTCATGTTACAATATTCCAGGTTGATGGTAATGAGTTGGAATAATGTCATGCTACCTATTAGGCTGGCCTGCTCACCATTTATGAATGCCTATGGTGTGACTGATGTGGTCTGTCACACAGGCCTGCATTGCCCAGAATGTGTGTGTTTGCATTTGTGTGATTTTCTGTATTTATGTATACCCTGTGTGCGCGTGTACTTGTGGATTCTTGGAAGATCGGTCATGCTCTTTGATTAATCCTAAATATCCTGAATCTTGGGAGACTTTTGTTGTCATTTTGGCTGTGACAGCTGCATGTCAGAAGCTATGAATAGCATTACTGGAGTTGAAAATCTATGCGTAATCAATCAAAAAGAAAAGGATCCAGCATCAAATAAAGGGATTTTGAGCCAAAACCACAAGGGAAACAATACATAATGAGAACTGAACATTCCTCCCACACACACACACAATGGTTTATTATTTGTCACAGAAGATGTGAGTAAATTCATGCTCCGCCTCCCACACGTCTGCACACAAACACATCATGCGACACACACACACTTTTCATGTGATATATGCACTCACCGTAGAGTATGTCTTAGTTTGCTCCCCTCAACTAATGCATAGCCAACAAGGCAGGTGATTTATAATTAATGCTTGGCTAAATATATCAGAATTCATCATGTGTGTGTTTGACCATGAGTACAGCAGGGATGCCGTCTTAACATCGCTTTAAACACCACGTTCCTCTCAGCATTTCTCTCATGAGTTGCTTGCGAGTCATTCCAGATATTCAGTCAGAATATCTGTTACTTGTACCTTATGTGACCAGAGTCATCTACCATCAGGGTGCCTTTTTTTTGTGTGTGTTTCCACTTGGCCAAAGCCTGTTTGATTTTCATCAACCAATAGGACGAGTGGAGAAGCCTCTCTGTGCGTCTGCACACCACATCTGCTCTGGCTAAATTAATGCTTTTCAACCATATCACAGTTCCAAAATTGCAATAGCCTCTCTGGCTTAGCTTCGCTGACAGCGGCTGTTACAGACCGGTCGGATGTGATAAAGCACATTTCTCAATGCCCACAGGTGAAAGAGAGCCGTGTATGTGTGTTTGCACTCATGCATATATGCTGTAG